AGAACCTAGCTATGATCGATCATTTCTCATCTTTCTTACGATGCCAACTTGCTATTCGACACAGTTACGCATCAAAAATCGAAACTATAAACAAAACAGCGAAAAACTCTTGCTTCTATCCAATTCCGCTAGACATCTAGTCATCTTCCTACAGTACCATCGTTGTCAAGCACGCCAAGGCATATTAACCTTCTAGCTACTGTACAGTATAGTGACTTCCGTCTATATCTTCTTCAACAATGCGCTACTATAGCGACATACCTTCCTCTCACCGATAGTTACACACATTAAATCTACCGCAATGGCACAGTAGAAAGTTCAATCACTCAAATCGCAGTGATACGTTTACAATACGTAACTCCGTAGCTAGAAGGTTAAAAACGTCACTAGACACTCATGGTCTCTTATCCTCATTCCAAACGCTACATTACTGTGAAAGTAATATAGATCCTACCGTTCATGTCGATCTCCGGCTCGGAGGACTCCTCTTCCAGGCTCATCTTAATCCAGCGTGGTGTCTTCGTTTCGGTGGCGGTCGCTTCGTGCATGTCGATGCGCGAACACGCGGTGTTCCACCGTGCATCGCGTGTCACCGGGTCCAAGGTCGTCGCTCGTCGTTCACCGGAGGGTAGAACGGCGGGCCGGCAACATTTTTCGCGGGTTGTTTCAACGGGTCCGTTTTCGCGGCACGCGCGGCTGCGCCATCCAAAGGCACGCTACGCGACCGCGCAGAAAACCAGCCGGGCCGCCCGAGCAACACTGTCGGCTCGCGAACGAGTTCTTCGCCCCGTTACCGAGCCTCTATGTAATATCTCGCTTTCGTACCGTTGATCTCTGCCTCGGGCCCGGTCGCCGCTGATTGGCCCGGAACCGTTTTCTTATCAGCCGCGAAACCGCGGCTGGAGTTGATCCTCTCTGGGCGAACCGGCGACCCCGCTCGACAGACGATCCGACGATCTCTCGCCGGCGACTCTGGATCCTCGATCCGATGGATGCTCGCCGGGACTCGTGGCCGCTGATCTCTTCAACAGAAAAACTACGGTTCGGTGCAATGAGTACGGTTCTCGGCGGCGACGCGTTTCTGGATTCCTTGAGCGGGATACGATTGGATGTGCGTTGTTTGGATTTGGATTGTGGGATGAGGATGTTGTGCGAAGATAACCGGACGAATTTATTAAGGTTTGGGAAAAAGCTCGTAAACACCGAAGTAGAAATGATGTTTACATAATTCAGAAGGCAACGTGTTACGGAAGAAATGGAGAATAAAGCGATGGCAATAGTTTTTCAATGTTCAATGAAATCAAATGAAGAAGATAAGTATAAGACATCATGAGAAAGATAAAAATTGAGTTCCCTTTTACAAAACGTATTGGCATATAAGAAAAATCATCGATTCAGCATAACTTTGTATAGACCACTTGGTACGAAGTATATACTTTGCGTTACCAATAATTTTCTAATAAAATGAATGATATTGGACAACAAAAATAAAGGATAACACCATCGTACACGGTGTATGGCTCCAGCATACAGGCAGTCTCGGCACCAACCAGAATAGAATACAAAAGAAGTTAGATCGAGAAACAATTTTTTTCATTCCCTTGCAATGAAATTAAACCATTTGTAACGTTTTCTAAATTTATTTTGAGATAGAGTTCTCGCAATGCGAATAGTAAGGCGCTATTGGATGTGCAACGATATATTATCGCTGGCACTTTTGGCAAGTGTCGCACTAAAAAGATTAATATTTGCTTTTCGAGTTTCATGTTGGAAGGGTAATATTGTAGATTAATGAGAGATGATTGGGAGTGGTGTGAGAGTAGGAAGTTTGTGATGGAACGTAACTGTTCTCTTTTAGTAGGTTACTCTAGTCAACGTGATTTTTGTTATAGAAGGTTTGATGGATAGCCTTAATGGTATTTCTTATGGTGAATTCGACTTCATGAATCTTTTACACCAGGATAATATTTATTTACCACTTTTATATATTAAATTAGGTCTTGTGGGAAGCTTTGTTAAGGCAATGCTTTGTTAAGGCGTTTTATATTGAAAAGAGAAATATCCTCGAAAATTCAGCATAAGAAATACTATTAAGATCACCCATTAAAACTTCTTTAACAAAAAAGTTAAATTTTGTAGTTCTAGTGTTATCTATTGCAATTACAAAGATTGCATTATTAGTTGTACCGTTACTGTACTGTGCCGATACATCAATCTTATATAATAAAAGAAAGCCATTCGTTGTAAACTATATACATAATTAACTTCACGTTATCAAGCTTAATTATCAAGATTAAATGTCCCGTGGTAAAAGAAAAGTTAAATTTTGTACACCACTGTTATCGATGAATAGAACGGTTCTAATAACTTGTAATAGGTTCTATACGAACGTTCTAGAAGACAAACACAGTAACTAGCGCCCCAAATTCCCAACAGTCGACTCGAGTACCCGTCCCATGCGGTCTGAGAAGTTAAACGATCGGTGAATCCGTATCTCGAAAGCCAGATACGCGGCGGTTCGATCCGATCGAACTATTACCGGCGCCGTATCTCGAGACCGCGTAATTGGCTATTTAGTTAATAAGTGATCGGGTATACGGGTGACAAGGGATTATCCGATTCCCGACGCAGTCAACGGAACGATGAAACTAATCTCTTAATAGGATTCGACGTCCAGGACAATCGCGAGAAAGAAAAATTGCCTGCCGCTCACCTTTCGATCGATTAGCGTGGAGCTTTCGGTGCCCGATAAAATCTGATAAATCGACCTTAATCCCGTGGTATTCCGGAAAAGTCGAACGCATCGGCGCCTGGCAGACCGGCTTATCTGAACTCGTAATTATACGGCATAGGATGAGTAACATTCTCGCGTTATCCGGTTAAGCCAGAAGCTAATATCCTTTTACGCGAATGGATCAGGTTGAACTACAGGTTGCTGCTAAATTGAAATCGCGAGGATTACATTCTTTCATAATGAACGTTCTAAACAATAAAGCACTGGAGTTTCGAACATCCCTAGTTTCTAATATGAAATACAAGCAATCTTTTCCTACAACTGAATCTATAACTGTATCTACAACTAAACGTAAGGTCACATAGTTCGAAGCTCATTAACCGCTCCAGTTGAAACGCTAGAAACTTCTGCGTGATGTATTACCTTCGAAGGAAATAGCCTCGCTTTTGCATTCGCGTTTTCGTTTTTACCGAAAGAGAAAGTTCACGGCTGCCTCCGTTTCCTTCCGTTTTCACTTCAGCTTGACCGTGCACTCGATTGCTTTATTTGCATTCCACCTTGCGCACCTATGGCACAGTTCACCGTGTCCTCGCGACCGTTTTCTGCGCTCTGCTTCGGCCCTCCTTTCTCCTTCCCGATCGCGTTGCCGATCCGCGGGATCGTCATCGAACGACTGCTGCCACGTTCCGCACAGATTCGCCGCGATTGTTGATAAACCCCGCGGATTGTGCACGATCGTCGGAGTGAAAGGGACCCACGGATCACGGACGGTCTAGCACGTGCCGCGATGAATCGTTCGATGCGCGCGTTCTTTCCCTGGCTGCGTGTAAAAGTTCACGGAGATAGCGGCTGTGATTCAGATAATAATCAGACGAAGGTCTCACCTGTTGATGGGCTATTGTGTCGAGGAACACGTGCGACGTAATTGGAGGAACGCGTGGAACCGATGATGACGCGAGTCTGTTGTCGTTTCTTCTAGTAGGATGTGCCCTTATCTAATCGGCGAGACATTTTTACTGGAACGAGTCTCTTCCTGTCATTGAGGAAACTTATTGGCTGTTTATCAAGACGTCGCGCATAATTAATCGATCGTTTCGCAACGCCGCCGCCGCGGTTCGAGACGAGTCTTTAATATGCCAAGTTCTAGGTGTCCGAATATTATTAGAGCGCGTCGAGATTCTTGTGCAACCTGGGGATTTCAGGTCGAAGGATTAAGGTGCTACATTCCGAGGAATCGCGCGGATGTCGAGTTACCATGGGTCAGAGATTTTCAGATCGATCGTTTCGCGTATCAACGGAGTCTTCGAGATTGTTGAAATGTGAGAATTTAGAATTCCTAGGGGATTGTTCTGTCCTGTGATTCGAAAGTCACTGAAACCTCGCGTCCAACGATGATCTGGGGTCCCCAAAAGATACTCATCTCGAAGGTATCATGTCGACTCTTCCTTTATTCTCTACGAGACAACGGATACAATGTATACTTGAAAGCA